TCCTGCCACTGCAATTGCCGCTGCCGCTGCCGCTGCCGCTGCCACTGCCACTGCTCCTGCTGCGACTGCGATTGTGGCTACGACGACGACTACGACGACGACTACTACGCCTGCAGATACGCGAGCATACGCCGCTGGTGATGATGCTGCCATCCTCGCTTGCCTGGATGCTTTGCTGCACGCTGATACTGCTTCCGGGTTGCCAGCATTGGCTGCCGCACATGCACAGCTCGCGCTGCGCCACGGTGGACTTGGACTCCGCAGCGCCGAACGCCATGCCGTCGCGGCGTTTTGGGCATCTTGGGCCGATGCGCTCCCCGCCATCGCGCGTCGAGACCGTGCCTTCGCTCAAGCCCTCGCGCGCTCTCTGGATGGCCCCGGGCCTTTGCCTCACGCCTTGGCTGCCTCGAGGGATGCCACCACGTCCCTGCAAGCTACAGGTTTCCAGGCATGTTTCTGTTTAGTGCTGTTGGGTTTCCGATTTCTGGTTTCAAGGTTTGGTCTGGGTATAGGGTTTCTGGGTTCAAAGGTTCTGGGTTCAGGGCTTCTGTGTTGGGAGTTTTGGACGCGTCTGGGTTTACAGCTTTTTTCCGCTTCTGGGTTTCGGATTTCTGGGTCCCTTGAGGCACAGCCGCCGGGATGCGACCCGTTCACCCCCCCTTGTCCCTTCTACTATGGCGATGCGCGACAGCCTGCCGGGAAAGGGCCGCGACGCGTTCCCCCCCTCCGAGGCTCACAGGGTCCTTCTTCGAGGCAAGGCCCAAACACATTAATTGCCCCTCCCCGCTAAACGACGAGTGCAGCCTCCATTGCAGATCAACACCGACATCCAAGGCTCATCAGGGCTCTAGGTTAAGGGGGTCTGAGATGGTAAGCCGGCGAAGGGTCTAAAATGCTTGTAGACCCATTTCAGATCCCTTGTTCCCGGACCCTGAAGGGTCACCATTCCAGACCCTGGGCAAACTGAGGGGATTATATGGCGCGGCGAATTGCTCTGCTGCGACGTGGCCCAGGTGCCGCCACCGCACGCCGACGGGCGCCTGCAACCGGTCTCACCGATGTGGCGCGGAGGCACAAACAGCGACGCCACGCGGAACTTGCACGCCCATGCCCGCAACGCCTCGTCGTGCTGGCTGCCGAAGTCGGCGGACGCTGGGGCTCTCGACACCGTCGCCTCTGCTGCCGAAGAGCCGGCTGCGCATGAGGTCCTGCAAAACAAGCGCTGGCACCACTGGCCCAGCCGGTTCCCGGCGAGGACATAGGCCCCCGACGCCGGGTATGCTGCATGCGCACCGTACAGCTGCACTGGGACCGCGCTGGTACAGACTGAAATATGTGTGTGTTTGTGTGTGTGTGTGAGTGATACTTCTTTTCACCTTTGTTAATGTTCTGATAGCCTCGCTTGGTCATTCGTGACGGGGGCGTGTGCAAGTGTCTGCTCTGCCATTCGTGGCGGGACACTTAGAAGTTGTAGTTTGTAGAGAATGCACGTAGTGCTGTAGCGCGTTGTGCAGCTTCACGCCGAGCCTTTAAGGCTTGTTCTCGAGCGGTCGCAAAGCGTCCTTTGTTACCGGACGCTGCACATTGAATAAAAATGAATGTGTGTGTGTGACGAAAAGAAAAGGAAGCGCATGACCTCGTTCGACGCCTCGAGAAACAGGGGTCCCTGCGAGCGCCGCGGGCGCAGAGGGCTGCTGCCTGGGATCACAGGATATCACAGGTGGTGGGGGCAGCTGGGTTGCGCTTTGCAGCCCGCCTTGGCGTCCACGCTCCTCCAAGTTTGGCGCACGCCGGCGCAGCCCACAAAACAAGAGCGCGTCCCGCTCGCGGCCGAGCCTGATGCGCACGCAACGGTACCAGTAGCACAAGCAGTAGCAGCAGGAGTAGTAGTAGTAGTAGTAGTAGTAGTAGTAGTAGTAGTGGTAGTAATAATGGTAGTCGTAGTGCTAGTTGGAGTGGTAGTGGTAGTGGTAGTGGTGGTAGTAGCAGAGGTCGCAGCAGCAGGAATTGTAACAGTAGTCGTGGTTGTCGTCGTAGTAATAGTAGTAGTAATAGTAGTAGTAGTAGTAGTAGTAGTAGTAGCAGTAGTAACAGTAATAGTAGCAGTAGTAGTTAGTACTTAGTAGTCGTAGTAGTATTAGTAGTAGTCGTCGTCGTCGTAGTAGTAGTAGTAGTAGTAATAATAATATTAGCAGCAGTAGTAGTAGTAGTAGTAGTAGCAGCAATAGTAATAATAAAAGTAGTAGTAGTAGTAGTAGTCGTCGTCGTCGTCGTCGTCGTCGTCGTCGTCGTCGTCGTAGTCGTAGTCGTAGTAGTAATAATAGTAGTAGTAGTAGCAGTAGTAGTAGTAGTAGTAGTAGTAGTAGTGGTAGTACCAGTAGTAGTAGTAGTAGTAGTAGTAGTAGTAGTAGTAGTAGTAGTAGTAGGAATAGCAGTAGTAGAGGGAGGAGGACAAGGAGCAGGAGCAGGAGCACGGTGTTACCACGGGGCCAGGAATGTA